AGACAAATATATGGACTTTGCAGCAACTTGGATGGATTTGGAGTCGATCATACTCAGTGATCTATCACAGAAACAAGAACAGAGTACCATATGTTCTCACTCATAAGCGGAACTTGAACAATTATAATGCTATAAGAAAGGGATTGGCAGTAATGGGAAAGTGTCAGGGGAAGGGAGGTGGGATTGGCAGTTGAGGGAAACTGCTAGGGGAGGGAGGGGCACACCTCGTCAACAAAGGTACCTGCATAATCAGCTTTTGTATACCTAACCCTGAATTGTATCCCACATCCTTCTAATAATAAAAATAAAAATAAATGAAAAATGAATAAAAGCAAATCAGTGATGAGGATTCCCAAAACCCTTTCTTTCTAATCTGTGTCTTTCCTCCATGAGTTTAAGCCTCTTATCTCCCTAAAGAAGCAGAGGTCGTGATATAAAAAAGACACCTGCACCCATATGTTTATCGCAGCACAGTTCACAATTGCAAAGATGTGGAATCAATCTAAACACCCATCAACCGGTCAGTGGATAATGAAAATGTGGCATATATAATAGACACTATGGAATACTAGTTAGCCGTCAAAAATAGCGAAATCATGTCTTTGGTGGCAACTTGGAAGGCACTGGAGATCATCCTCAGTGAGCTAACTCAGGAACAGGAAACCAATCACCGGATGTTCTCTACTTATACGTGGAAGCCAAACTAAGGATCTGCAAAGGCAGAGAGAATGGCATCACGCACGCTGGAGACTCAGAAGAGGGAGGGGGACTGGGGTGAAGGGATAAAATATCGCCCATCAGGTACATCGTGTACAGGTGAGTGTGGGTACACTTAAAGCCCGGACAAAAAACTATCTGTACCTCCTACAGCTATTTAAATAGATACACAAATACAAATTTTAAAAAGGCTTTTCTTTAAAAAAATGGATTTCTCTTCATCTCTCATCATCTCTTTCTCTCTTTTGAGGTTGCCTCAACCCTGCCTCCCCCGTAAGCCCTATCTCCTTCCCTTGACCATGCAGTGACTCCTGGGATCAGTTGACCTGGCCAGCTATATCTGCTCCAGTCTCCTCAGGCCCCCAAAGTTTCCCTGTTAGAGGTGGTGAACAACATTGGTACTTGTCTCAAATCCCCTCTTGGCCTCTTTCATTCCTGGTTTGTTCCATTGATTGCACGCCCGCATGGTGGGAGGGAAGGGGGATGCAGCAGTGAACCAGCCCACCCAGGCCTCTGGGTCAGATGGAGTGGAAGCCCAGTCTGGTTGCAGCAGCTAGTCCCAGATGCTCTTCCTCTGGCTACTGGAGCTTTGCCTACAAGCAAAGAGAAGTATCTGGAACTCCGTCCCTGATCAGATTTTCCTCCTTACCACCAGCACCAAAGGACACTGTGACCCACTGATGTCCTTACGTGAGCTCTTCCCTGCGGGGCCCACTTGCCTGGTTTTCCTCCTACTTCCCTGGCCTCTTTTCATCTATAAGAAGGGTGGCCAGTGCTTTATCTACTGGATTTTATACAACCTCTTAACTTGTGTCTACCTTGTAGCCAGAGCCATCATTCTGAAAGGTAATCACATAATTCCATCTTTCAATGGATTCTCCATCGAAATATATAGATTGTAAAACCTGACACAGTGGCTTACACCTATAATCCCAGCACTTTGGGAGGCAGAGGTGAGAGGATTGCTTGAGCCCATGAATTCAAGACCAACCTGAGCAACATGGCGAGACCTTGTCTCTACAATAAATAAAAAACTTAGCCGGGCTTGGTGGCACATGTCTGTAGTTCCAGCCACTTGGAAGGCTGAGGCAGAAGGATCACCTGAGCCCAGCAGGTCAAGGATACAGTGGCTGTGAGCGTACCACTGTACTCTAGTCTGGGCGACAGAGTGAGACTCTGACTCAAAAATAAAATAAAATAAAATAAAATAAAATAAAATAAAATAAAATAAATAGATTGTAGAGACAAAGGTCTCTCTATGTTGCCCAGGTTGATCTTGAACTTTTGGTCTCAGGAGATCCTCTCTCCGCAACCCCTCAAAGGGTAGGGATCATAGGTGTGAGTGATCACTCCCAGCCTGATTCTCCTCATTTTTAGGATCAAGTCTAGACTCCTGAAACTTGCCTGCTTACAAGGTCATTGTTAACCTGCCTCCTATTTTCTTTTCTCATTTCTTCTTCTACCACTTGCTCTCCAAAATTCTGCCTTGCAGTCATATGTAACTCCGTTTAGTTTCCTAACAGACGACACATTGTCTCTCATCTGGACGACAGCCGGGTTGTTTTTTTCTGCTTTGTTCTCAGGTCACCCCACTCTTCATGAAGCTCTCTTCCTTTATCTAACTGGTGGGTAAGTATCTTTCAGCAATTATTTCCTCTGGGTTAACCTCAAAGCCTGGAAAGTGAGTACTTTATATCTAAAATTATTTTGAAAATCATAAGAGTAATGTCATCTTAGATATGTCTGATATACACAGTATAGAGTTGGATTAGTGTTTAATCCCATCTGGCAGTTTTGCTTTGTGACTAGATAATTTAGTCCATTTATATGTAATATAATCACTGATATTTGGGGTTTACATCTGCCATCTGGTATTGTGCTTTTTATTTGTTTAATCTGTTCTGTGTTTCTTTCTCTTTCCTTTTCTTACTTTTGTTTTTGATCGGCTAAAGATTTGCTCTTCCAGTTTTGATGACTTATGACCTGTTTCTATTGTTTTAAGGGCTTGCTTTAGAAATTAAAACATACATATTTATCAAAGTCTAAATTTAATAAAACATCACAGGTCACTATAAAGATCTTTCTCTAACTGTTTCTGACTTAAACATTTTTTTGCCTGCTATTTTAATGTTAGATATATATATATTTTTTAAGAGCCCACTAGATATTACAATTACTATTTTATGTGCTCAATGTTCATATAAATTTGTTCACATATTTACCAATGTCTTTGTTTTTCATTGCTTCCTGCATCTCACATCTTCCTTTTGGCATCATTTGCTTTCTGCCCAAAATATGTCTTTTTTTTTTTTTTTTTGAGTTGGAGTCTCACTCTGTCACTCAGGCTGGAGTGTAGTGGCACAATCACAGCTCACCACAGCCTCAACCTTCTGGGCTCAGGTGATCCTTCTGCCTCAGCCTTCCACGAAGCTGGAACCACAGGCTTGTGCTGCAATGCCTGTCTGACTTTTTGATTTATTGTGGAGAAAAGGTCTCACCTTGTTGCTCAGGCTGGCCCAGAACCCCTGAGCTCAAGTAATCCTCTCGCCTCTGCCTCCCAAAGTGCTGGGATTACAGCTGTGAGCCACCATGCCCACCTCTTCTGTCTTTCTACAGCACTGTCAGTCCTTGCCCACCTACTCATTCCCTGGCTGCTTTTAAAATTTTTCCTTTGTCTGTATTTGTATAAGGCATCTCCAGGTAGATTTCTTTATTTGGAATCTATACTGCTTTATCTTTGGACGGGTGTCATGGATCTGCTCCAGAAAAATCTAAGCCACTACCTCTAAAATGTTGCCTCTGCCCCCATTATCCCTCTTCTGTCTTCTGGTACTTTAGTCAAATAAGAATGCATATAGTGGTTTTCCCTTGAGGAAAGAGTGGCTATTATTTTTACCTGAGAATCCCTCCAGTGTTGACAAATGATCCAGGAAGGACATCTTGGTCTTCAGAAAATATTTGTTGGGCAAACCCGTACACTGTCTAAATGTGCCATCCTTCCAGTACAACTGATCACAGGGTGGGCCAAGTCAAAAAATAATATCAAAAAGAACAGTTTTGCCTACTTCAATTAGAAAGAGCTAGAGAAATGTAACCTACTTCTATTAAAACTCCGTAGTGCTAAAAACAAAACAAAACAAAAAACTTTGTAGTACTTAATGACAACTTTCAGTTGTCATCACCAAAAACTGTGTATCCTACCTCTGACTGCCTGTTTTCCTTGGTAGAAGTAACTGGTTTTTTTCTGCATTTTATATTATTGCCTAAGAAGAAACTACTTGCCCACAAAGTCAATGAAATCCTAATGAGTCTTTCAGGTGTTTCTTCTGAGCGTCTGTGATGGCTCCAGGCCATTATTACTAAGAAAACAAACAAAGGGACTCCCCACCCTCTGGAAACTTCCTTTCTCTACTTAAGTCAGACTTTCCTTTCCTCTGAGTGCCATACACCGACTGAACCATAGACTGGGGGCTAGACCTGGGCTTCCAAGAACAGCTCTGAGATTCACCATTGAGGTGGTGAGGTAATTGGTGTCCTTAAAATAAATACTTGGAATTCAAGGAGCTCCTAGAACATAAGAAGAGAAAACCCTTTCTAAAGGTTAGGTCTGTGGATAATTATTTTCCTTCTCTTTTCTGAATATTGGAATCTTGCAAAATTGGAAGTTTGGCACAGGAAGTTTGGCACAGGAAGTGTGGCTTCAGTCTTTCTTAAAATCTTGAACTCTTCCTGGAAGTTTAAAAGAGCACAACTTTATAAATGTCTAGAAACCTAAGACAGCTCTATGTTCAAAACAAATATCCCTCACCTTCGCCCCAGTTTTCTAGTAGGTATTATTTTCTGCTTATTTACCTGCAGGGCTTTTTAGTTGTTAACATTTAGCCGTGTTGCACATCTGTCTTTCTTTATATTCACTGACTCCTATTAATGGAAGAACTTACGGGTAACTGAATACGGACTGAGGGAGATGACCCTTTATTTTGAATTACATCAGTTATGTTGCTTCTAACCATTTCCTCTTCTTCCTCTTGGTCATTGTTGTCTGTCCTCCTTCTTCTCCTCATCCTTCTCTGTGGTCATTGTCTTCTTTTTCTCTTCTCTTTCTTCTTCTTCTTTTTCCTCTTCTCTTCTTTTTTTTACAAAGGTTGGAACCACCAATAGGGTCAGCACTTTAAAAAAGAAATTCAGTCACTCCTCTGTGCACAAGGTTGATCAGTGGTTTTACACCCAAGAAGGAATAACAGACTGCTGAGACCTGCAATTTTGCACCATTGCCTCACAGCATGGAGAGAAGAGACCAAGCTGGAAGAAGCAGGTGGGTTACTTCTTTGTCTCTCTCTCTCTCTCTCTCTCCTTCGTTTTTGTTTTTTGGTGGGCTCCTTTTTAAGCAACCTGGCTCTTGCCCCATCCTTTTGTTCCCTGCCTTTGTAAGACTGACTTTTTTTAGACTGAAAGAGGCTTCTCACAGAAGCCTCATTTGATGGTCATGGCTGCTAGTGCACGGGGTGGTAGACCCCCTTAGCCGCCGTTTCAGTTACCTGCAGTCAAGTGCAGTCTGACAACTGGTGAATACAATACAATAAGATATTTTGAGAGAGGGACCACATTCACATAACTTTTATGACAGTATAGTATTATAATTGTTCTGTTTTATTGTTTGTTGTTATTGTTAATCTCTTACTGTGTCTAATTTATAAATGAAACTTCATCATGGATATGTATATGCAGGAAAAAGCATAGATGGTATTTCAGTACGATCTGCAGTTTCAGGCCTCTGCTGGGGGTTTCGGAATGTGTCCCCTGTGGATAAGGCTGTTGACCATGACACCAAGTACTCACTGTCTAATATGGTAAGGCTGGGTGTTGTTTTTAATGGGAAATTGTAAATCTCTGTCTTGGCCGAAGCACTTGTATGGATTAAGAGAAGTAAAAGTAGGGTTCAATTTACACACCAAAGTAGAGAAGTGTTTTCAGCCCTGACTCTCCAACCCTCAAGGTCTCAGACATATTTTCCACCTCCTGTTTGTTGATGCTGAGAACATGGCAACAGGGTTAAGTAGGGGAAGTAGCTTTTACAATGAACAAGATTTGTGTTCTACTTCCTAATTTGTCACTAACTGGCTAAGAGGTTTAATCATGTCTGTGAATATCAGTTTCATCAGCTGTCCAGTAGGTGATATTAGACAATTGATTTTTCCTAGTGTATGCCTAAAACCATGCTAAGAGTTTTTGACTCTCTTGAAAATCACAACTACTTTGCAGGGAAGACTTTATTCTTGGCCTTATTTTACAGATGAGGACATTGAGGATTTAAAGTAATGGAGTAATCTGCCTAATGTCACATAGTGAGGGGGTGTAGACAGCATTCGAACACAGGCCACTTTGTTTCCACAGGTTTGCAATGATAGACTAAATGCTTTCTCTGCCTGGGTGCAGTGGCGCATGTCTGTAATCCTAGCTACTCAGGAGGTTGAGGTGGAAGGATTGCTTGAGTCCAGGAGTTTGAGATCAGCCTGGACAACTTAGTAAGACTCCATCTCATTTTTCAAAAAATAGATTTCTCTGGTTGTTTTAGTACTAAAGTTTTAGAATTTCATTGTTTAATTCAAAAATGAAGAGGGAAGAGATAAAGAGATGACAAGTTCTGTTTTTATTGGTCTTTGATTCTTTCTCTAAGCTGAAGAGAAGAGGTTGGATGGATGGGGAGAAAGCTGAAGACCCAAGGAGTGAAGCAACTTCACAAATTTTGCAGCCTTGGCAGGAATGGACACTACCTCTGGTTCTGCCTCCTCATGAGACTCAAAAAAATAAATAAATAAATAAACTCACTCTGTCACCCAGGTTGGAGTGCAGTGGCATGATCACGGCTCATTACAGTCTCAACCTCCTGGGCTCAGGTGATCCTTCTGCCTCAGCCTTCTGAGTAGTTGAGACTACAGATGCACACTACCAGGCCTGGCTAACTTTTTTTTTTTTTTTTGTAAAGATGAGGTCTCACTCTATTGCGCAGGTTGGTCTTGAAATCCTGGGCTCAAACCATGCTCCCGTCTTGGCCTCCCAAAATGCTAGGGTTACAGGCATGAATAACCATTTCCGGCTCCCTCATGAGACCGTGGTTCACCGTGTAAGCATCCTATCAGAAGAGGTTTTGAGGAACCCCTGAGGCAGACACTCAAGCAGGCAGCTCCTCCACCACCAACCCAAAGGAAGACTGTTTTACTTGAAACCAAAGATCAGAGTTCTTTGCCTAATTTTTGTACTCAGAATTTTGTGCTTTTTCTTAAAACCCATACTTTCTCTTGTCTTATTGCATATTTTGTTTACTAAAGCACAGATAATTTAAACAGATGGAAGTAGGACTTCTTGACTTTTAAAATATCTTTTAAAGAAATGTTTAATTCGGGTCATTTTTTTTAGACGTTTGATGACTTGAAAAAATGAGGTTCAGAAAAGTCACCCATTTGCTATGTAGTTAGAGTTCTCTGGAGGGTTTTTGCATTTTTCAAGAAGATGGTGGATATCTATGAAATTCTTATTTAGAGGTACTTACTTGTCAATGAATTTGTTTTGTTTGTTTGTTTTGAGTCAGAGTCTCACTCTGTTGCCCAGGCCAGCTGACCACAGCTTCAACCTCCTGTGCTCTGGAGATCCTTCCACCTCAGCTCCCAAGTAGCTGGGATGACAGGCACACTTGGCTAATTTTTTGTAGAGACAAGGTTGTGCTAGGTTGCCCAGGCTGGTCTCAAACTCCTAGGTTCAAGCAAGCGTCTCACTTGGCCTCCCAAAGTGCTGGGATTACAGGCATGAAGCCACCGTGCCTTGCTGTCAGAGTTTTTCGAAGACGAGTCGGTTGGTGGGAACACAGCTTCAAGTACAAAAGGAAATCACTCTTCAAAAGAAAATCATTAAAAATTAGTTCTTTTTGCTTTTATCTTTAACCTAGTAATTACTGACATAAATAAAAAGCAAGGAGCTTTTCTTCAGAAATTGTCTTTTCTGCCAAAATGTTTTCACTTGTGCCTAAGTCCAAATTAAAGTCTCTCATTTTGTAAAGGTTCTCAATTTTTTCATTTATTTACTTATTTTATTTATTTATTTTTTGAGTTGGAGTCTCACTCTGTTGCCCAGATTGGAGTGCAGTGGCCGCTCCCAGCCACCGCAGCCTTGACCTACTGGGCTCCAGCGATCCT